CGTTGGAATAGCCTCTATCCACTTGGTAAAAGAGTCTACAATGACTAGGCAGTGTTCATTACCACCGCTTGTCCTTGGCAAAGGGCCAACAAAATCAATCTGTAATCTTTGCCATGGTCCAGTAATTACTTGGTGTTTTAGTGGAATTCTGTTATGTGCCTTCGGGTTATTTTGGGCACACTGCAAACAATTATTAATACAATGTTCCACATCTGCCCGTAGTCGAGGCCACCAAGCGACACTCTTGATCCTACTAACGGTCTTTTCTACTCCAAAGTGACCTTGCGCATGTGCTAGTTCAATTAGTTCTTGGCGCAGGATGGCAGGCATTATCAGTAATGGATTCCCTGCTTGTTGGTCGGACACCATCTCTTGTGCCATAATCGGCCCATTTACATGCTTCGTTATTACATAATCTTTATACCGGCTCTGTTCTAACAACTGCATCACTTCTCGGTCTTTCTCTTGCAGTTTAACTATGTCCACTGAATCCTTTAATGTCGTCTGGTTTGTTACGGCATCGATCTTTTCTTCATACGTCGCTGGGAGTTGCCAAGTCATATTTGATGATAGTGTGGCTGCTTGTTTTGCCAATTGATCTACTGCATTATTTAACACCGAGATTTCTTTATGATCTTTTTGGTGGGCTCTCACCTTAAAAAGGAAAGTTTTTCCTTTCCGATTTTCTGCAAGACTCCATGCATAATTTAGTAATTGGGCATAGATGACAGGACGATTGTCGGTGGTACACATATTACGCTGTTTCCACACAGTCATCCAATCGATGAAGGATCTTAATACCCAATCAGAGTCTGTACATATGGTGAGGTCCTGATCATTAGCATTTTCTAAAGCCAAAATAATAGCAATTACTTCAGCAGCCTGCGCGGAAGGAAGGCTCACTCGTCCTTCCAGATGCCACATGCAGTGCAGCGGCACCTGTGATGACTTGTCCATTATTTCGATAGCAACTTCCATCCACGACCCAGATATTTTGAGGAGTCGTCTTCCGGACTTCTTCGTATTTTGACATCAGTACGAAGGGTGACTTAATAGTGGACGTGGCTTCTTCTGGTATTGGACACACATGTAAATCTTCCGGCCTGAGTGGTTGACACAAAATGGCAGGAACCAGTGATTGCGTTTTCGTTGGTTCCACCACGATGTCGTGGTTCATTAGAGTGAGGGTCCACTGCGCCAAACGTGGATGACTCACTCTTCCATTATTCGCTTTTCCAGAAATGATGTACCGAACGGGAGTATGACTCGATTTCAGGATGATTGGTGACTGTCCAATTAGGTACTCCCAATGTATGAGAGCCCATGTCAAAGCCAAAACTTCCTTTTCGCATGGTGTGAATTGTTGTTCTACACCAGACAAAGTCCTTGAGCCGTAAGCAACTGGTTTTAAGGTGGTGGCCTGTGGCTTCCATTTCTAAACAAAATTGCTCCTCGTCATGTCTGGAGAAAATATGCACCAACATAAGCCTGCAACTGCTTAGTGACCTTTTTAAATTGACAACTGCACATTTGCTGTCATATTGCCCATTATGGTCTCATTTGCCATACCAGGATGTTAGGTAGGAAACATTCTGGCAAGAGGAATGGATATGTTCTCCTCAACCAAGGTATTGTTGACCCCACAATCTGCCCACCCGGTTTGGATCTACCCTGTCACCAATGGTACCTATTGAACAGGTTCCAGACCAGGCAATGACTCTCTGCAGTCAACCAGTATCACTGGGGCCTTGATGACAGTCTGTGACAGCACAACAGAGATGATGATGGACATTATCAATGAATGCTTGATGAGGGATGCCATCACTTGGCTAGATGATGAGGTACATGTGAACTAAATAAAATTATTTTGCCATATCTGAATAGCAATTTAAGATTATTTTTAAAGTATTTCTTGGAGTCGTTTGAACAGTCTTATAACACTATTCACTAAGCGCTCTGATCGGAGTAGAAATCAAAACCCTCCCCTCCCCAGTGTCACTCCATTAAGATACAGAATGTAGAACAGAAAGTCCGACACAAGAACTGCCCTGAACGCTGGGACACAGAAGGCCGGGAAGCACTGCCCAATGGTAAATCCCCGCTCCAGACGGTAATGACCCCTCACCAACCCACCACCACAACTAATTATCAGGACGATTCTAGGAAGAAGTCTTGTCTGGGATCCAAAATGCTGAAGCTGCCACGTTGTATTGTGAGGTCCCTCTGAGGCAGGGCTGAAGAGCCTACAGTCCCGCCTGTCTTCCAGGAGCAGTCCCCTACGATGCAAGGGAGCAGCTCGCTACAAACACGCTGCCCGGCTGGGCCCAGGTGGAATCCGCGTTGGTGGGTCGTTGAGCTCAAGCGGCAGTTTAACGGCCCCCCGAC